CTAACGAGTTAACAAAACTTAAATTCTGCTTTTTGTGTCAAAGAATACAACAATAAAAATATTTTAATATTTACAAATAAAATATTAAATTGGAGATTTAATTGAAGCCTCATCAGTTGCCTAGCATTTGAAAAAGAAAATAGTGTTAAATACTAATTGTTTGCTGCTCAGTCTAACCCAGGCTGCATGGTTGGTTTTCGTAGTTTTTTAGGTTCTCTTTACAAAGATTCTCTATGAAAGCATCTTAATCAAATAGCTCCCATGTTCTTTCTATGTTCAAATAACGAACTAACCTAGTTTAAGTGCGATTTCCAAGTGAAGTTACTAGTAAAATCCGAATACTCATTAAAAATCCTGTAGCTAGCCAATCGGGAGTAACATGAAAGACACGGAACAATAATTGAAATGTTGTTACGGTACGCTGTTTCTTAACTTAGATGGTCATTCCTTAATTAAATAGCCCACCAACAGCCGAGCGGTAAAGACGCTGAACACTGGTAGTTCGGTTTGAGTTTCGAATCCCGCGAACGGGCTGGCCGCATGGGCGGTTTTGTGGTTTTCCCCATGTGTAACGTGTATACGAGCCAGTTTCCCTTAGAAAGTCCTCCACGAAGGCATCCCTCCCTTTAGGCAGGTAGCCCTTGTGTGCTTTGCCATAATTAAATAATCCAATTCAATCCTTAATTAAAATATAATTGATTTGTAAATTCTACTAGAACTGACGGTAAGAATTGAAGTGGAAATAAGTAATATGGTGTGCAATCTTGATTAATAAAAATTAAAAATATTGCATAGAAAAATGTTTGCATTCAGACAGAAAGTTTTTTGAAATATTTGTAATTACTTTATAAGAAGGATTTATTAATAACCAGCAATAATTACTTATTATATTACTGATGATTAGGATTCAGTTCTTGACAATTACATTCTAAATTAGAATTTTAAGGATATAATGAAAATACGCTACGCACAAAAATACATTTTAGGAAAAAAAATGAGTTGATTTTTTATGTTTTAAAACTTCTTAATTCATTTAGTAAACATCGTATCCTCGTTGTTTATTGAATCCAGAATGTTGGTGTCGTTTATATAATTATTCTTACTTGTCCACAGAATCTGCTGACTTATCCAGCCATTAAGTAGCTGCAGATTATTTCTACATAACCATTGAACTTCCATTAATTCAGTCTCTAGAGGGTTGTATGTTTATATCATAATTTGACTTTTATAAAAAATGATTATTCTAAATATTATGTTTCTATAAAAATATATTGTGCTTTAAAAATATGGATAATAGTATCAGCCGCTCTTTCAGCCACTTCAAAAGCAACAGTTTGTTTAGAAATAAATTATACAGTTAATGTCATAAAATTCAAATAAATATCAAACGAAAATTCTCAGTTTTAGACAATTCGATTTAAACGAAGTAAAGTAGCAGACGATAAAACGCCGAAGGTAAAAATTTACTCTTACAAAAACTTACTCTTAAATTTTTTAAAAAAAGAAAAGATATGAGAGAAATTTAAAAAAAAAAATAGTTAAAAATTTGAATAATATCATCTATAATTTAAAAAAATAGCCTTTCATATAGTATTAATAAATATTTATTACGCATCATTGAGGGAAAAAATGTCATATAATAAATTCTCCGTAAAATTTTACTTGAAGTTTAAGGTTAAAAATAGCTGTGGCAATTCAGTGTAACAAAAATCCATAGACCACATTTGGCGTTATTATCGCTCAAAAAAAAGTTGCCAAATTTCAAAACGCGAAATTATGTAAATTCGTGTATATCTTAGAAAATTTTGAGTAGAAAAGCCTAATTTTTTGCAGATATGCTTAAAAATACATCTACTTTAAGATGATGGTAAAAATTTTTTTCGAAAAATCTATAGAAATTATTTAAAAATAAAAATTTAAAAAATAAAACGCAAAAAATGGGTAAATTTTATTTGGAATGAACCAAAATTTCGAAATGTGAGAGAAAAAAAAATCAAAAAAGTTTAATAAAAAAAGAGATATTAATAAATATTTGCCAAATTCAATTAACATTGAGGAGCTAAAATTTTGAGAGCTAATATTTTAAAAACTAATCGTACGATTTTTACAAAACTTGGTATTCTGGCATAATTTGAGTCGTAGAATCGAAATATGTAAAAAAATTGGTATGTTATTTCAGAAAAAGTCCGATTTTGTGTCAAAATACCTATGTTAGAATAGTAATATTTATTAATCTAATATATATCCTAAGTCGCGCTTTCGAGACATGAAAAACGTAGTTTGAATTTTGTCAATCGCCCCAGTAGAACGGGAGATATAGCACTGTCCCATTTTTTTTTTTTTTGAGCAGTGTACTTACAGCATCATTAATGCCGAAGTTCAGCTTGTGAGATGCGTAGTTTACATATTCTGCATTTGGTTATATAGTTTTTGTCTGTTGCAGGAGGCCATTATAGAAACCTCTCATAACAGAAGCACGTCCATAACACTTTAATTGATGTTTTTTTTCTTTCAAGAAACTGACTATGAGTTCTTCAATCCTTCAAAAGAATGATCTTTCATAGCATAAAATCTGAGAAATGTATATTTAATAAAATTTATGCGTTTTGAATTATCACTTGCAATATGAATATGCCTTAAAATGACATTCATTTGATCTGTCTTGGGTATATCTTGTATAGTACCTAATAAGAAAAAATAAAAGGGAGATGCATTTATCTGAATCAGCAAGTTTTGTTCTAAATTATGACCAACACACTGAATTAATTTATGTGAATATTTGGCTCAAATATCGCATGCTTCCTACTGGCATTTCAAAAACTTTTTTCTAACATTGTCATGTTCACTTAATAATTTAGCCCATAATAAAAAAATTGTCATTATAACTAGTATTTATATATTTTCTGTGCCCATGCAAAGCTAACACATTTTTGACAGCGTAAGTGTAATGTTAAATAACCATCCTAAAATGGTTTTCCAAAAATTGCATCATATCAGATTTGTTTTTGAGGTCAAATAACCAACAAGGTGTACAGTACGCAGCATTCAGTAATTTAGAGCAACACAAGAAATATGACACCTGTCTGCACTTTGCCTGGATGGTATACTATGAAATAGACATTAAAATGCCTATTTCTTTGTTTAGCATCTTTTGGAAATGCACCTATATATTTTCTTCCTTTTCATCAAAATTAATTAGAAATCTCATATAATCAGTAATATTTTTGCCTGCATAATTACCTGTATCTGCTGATATGCACATATCTGTTTCTTCTGTACATTTATCGTCGGTCCAGGTGACTTCAGCCTGTAATACAGTTTTTATTCAGGCTGTTCAAACTTACTGGTAGAGATGATATCTGCTGAAGATTTTTTTTTTTTTCCCCCCTGGGTATGATTTTTTAATAACAATGTTATCTTATCCAAGAGCTTTTTTTCCCTCTCCTCTGCCTGTTCTTTCTTTTCTTTTTTGGGCTCTGGTCTTGTTTTTTAAATCTATTTGAACTAATATATAATATTTTATCAATTATTATAACTATTTTAACATTTCTTACTTTCCAGTTTTATTTTCCATCCAACTGCTAATAAAGCAGTTCTTATAAGTTTGGAGAACTGAATATAGCACACAGATTTCTATAGGACAGAGGCATTTAGCTGCTCTGCTTATCCCTTTCATCAAATGTGCCTGCACAATTTAACCAAAACTAGCTTATTTGGTGTGTGATAGCAACTTTCTGCTGTGCTTTAATACTTTCCTATGCTCATATATAAAAAACACAATAAAAACAAATACCGAATAATTATCACAAATAAAACAAGTTAGTTTTACATAGATTGTGCATGTGCATTTGATGAGAGTATTACTATACTACAGATGGGCCTGCATAAACGAGGGAAAAAAAAATCATTACACAGCACTGGAATTAACAAACAAGATAGGCTGTTTTAAGCATTCAATTTTATTTATAATTTTTATGTAATCTTAAAAAAAGAATACAAAACTCAATTAATAACAAAATTTATTCACAAAATTTAAATCTGTAGGTATAAAATGTCAAACATAGATTTGGCAACAAATTTATTTGATTATTATTACTTTTTGTCTATTCAAAAATCAAAAGTAATGGCCCCTTAGACACTACCTAATCTTGCCTGTCTATAACCATGCCACTGTGTGGGTACCTATAATACAGGCTTTGTCCGGAAAGTAGTAGGACAGAATTTTTCAAAAAAAATTTTGACTTAATAGTTTTGAAAATATGCCCTTTCCGCATCAACACAGCGTTTCCAGTGACTGCAAATCACTGAAGGCTTCCTGGATTGCTCTTCAGCTTCCTCATTATGGCCTGGACCGAGCCGAGGTGTCATTCTGTATAACCCTTTTCAGTCGGGAAAAGAGGAAGTCTGAAAAAGTGACATCTGGGTTTTAGGGTTACAGAGGAAGCTGTGTGATGCCATGTTTGGTCAGGAAGTTCATTTCAAGAAAGGCTATGTGGCTGTGCATTGTCATGATGGAGCCTCCATGATCCAGCGATTGCTAGACGAGTGCGGGCGACTGTTTTCTGAGTCTTTCAATAAAATGTATAGCCTAAATGTCACTCCTTCAGACTGCTTCCTCTTTTCCTGACTGAAAAGTGCCATGAAAGGATGGCACCATGGCTCGGTCCAGGCCATTCAAGAGGTAGTAGCAAGGAGCTGAAGAGCATTCCGGTTTCTGCTTTCCAGGGGGTCTTCAGTGATTGGCAGATTTGCTGGAAATGCTGTGTTGATGCAGAATGGGTTTATTTTGAAAAACTGTTAAGTCAGTGTGTCAAAATTGTGAATAAATATTTTTTAAACAATTCAGTCCTATTACTTTCCGGACAAACTCTATATAAATCGTTTAGTTTTTAATGCATTCGTAGACAGCTACAGTTCTGGCATGTTTATTGAAAAGTATTAAATATATTATGATGAACAGTATAAGTTTATTTGTCTCACTTTTTTTCACTTTTCAACAGGCCAAAGAAGTTTGGGAAATGAGTAGTGATGAAAAGTTTAAAAAAGCGAAACTTTCTAAAGAAAATGGAATTTCATATTTTAATGTAAGTTGAAGTTCTTAATTACTTTTTTCTGACTACTCTTAACGTTATTAACTAACTAAAGTAATATTTGTTAAAAGTGAGAAAGAGGAAAATGAGAAAAGATTCAAATTTTATAGTTGCACTAGAGAGTTTTTTAAGGTTTTTATGTTTTCACTGAGTTTGCAGTTTACCAACTGAGTCTCACTGAGTTGCTGTTGGATTCACTCCTGCTAACACAACTTTTTTTCCTTTTATCTTTATTATTAAGCATCGCTTTCTTTGCACTTCGTAGGCTCAACAGCCCAGGATGGGCCCTTGCCTTGTCCAGAAGTCCAGCAGGTATCTGTGCTTTTGTGAACTGTTTTATGTTTTTGACTTTCATAATGTTTAGGTCATTTTCAACACAATTGAACCATCTCACTGGGGATTTGCCTAAAAGTCTGGTTCCCATAGGCTTTGCCAAAAAGGTTTTCTTACAACACTGACCTTCATGCATTCTGGCCAAAATGATCAGCCCATTTAAGTCTGTGTAGTTTGAAGAATTTTACTTTATGAGATTGTCTAAAAATCTTGTATAGCTAGCTGTAAGTTACATCTTCTCCATGATTCACTTGGACCCTACTAGATATGCAACACGAAATCCTCCCGAGCTTCCGACACATTAGTCAGGATAGATCTTCTAAGATTCTTATAACAAAGTAATTTAGTTCTTAACTAGAGAAAGCTGGATTTCAAATAGCTGTTCAGGCCATGAAAACATCTAGTTGCAGCAGAGATTCTTTTAAGTATTTCAGAGGTTCTCATTTTTACAATTCATCTCTGCTTCCCGATGAGTTGTTTGCACTTACACCGCATAAAATTCTTTATACTTATGGCACATAAATTTAGCAGAAAAGTCACAAAACTTTTAAAAGCAGCATAATTTTAGAATACCCAATAATCTTTTTTCAAAAAATGCTCTTTATTGATTAAAAGAAAACAAATACAGGAGAAAGGTAAATGGCAGTACATAAAGAATCTTTCCAAGTTTGTATAGGCCTTATCACGTAGTTGTAGATTTAGTCACTAGGCAACAGTATATTGTAAGCTTGTATAATTTACTAATGAGCATGAAGCTTATTCCATCTTAGGATTTGCTAAGTGTCAATGGTTTAATAGAGATTTCTTACAAAATATCAAATAGAAGTACCTACAATCAAGGTAATTCATATGTGGTGCAGGGAGTTTAAGGAAATTTTGTACATGAGCAATGCATAAGAAGCAGGCTCACAGGTATCACCACTGCCTGAAAACAAATTAGCTGTATAATCAAATATATGTTTTTTTGCTTTTGTGTTTATAAAACCATATGCATATTTGATGCTTATAAAACTGTATGCATTGTGCTGCAAGATGCAGCTAATGTGCATACAATAACTTGGCATTACTTATGTGCTGTTAAGCTAAGTAAATGTATTCTTTTCCCCATCCTTTAAATTAATGTTGCAGAGAAATTGCATTTCTTTATTTCCTTCTCTTCTTTTGTGAATTAGGCTAAATATCACAGTGCTTTTTTATTTTTTTTAATAATTAAAAGAGAGAACAATATATTTTGCATTACCCTATTTTAGTATAATATACACTGTGTCTCCACAAAAGTCTGTATGTAACCTCTTCCTCTTAAAGTACGAGATCATATTTAGAAACCGAACACAAATTGAAGAATGAAATGTTTGCATTTTTATGTAATTGAAAAGTAAAATATAAATTTAGGAAAAAGTTTCTAGTTGTTAGTAGATTATGTGAAAGCATTATTGTGTAGAAGATGGGTAAAAATGTAATCATCGATATTTTTTTTTTTTTTTTTTAATTATTCACATAATCTTATAGAATTAATGGTCTAGAAAACAGTGGCAGGCTTCAAATATAGCCAGCTTGTAACATTATTTATGTAAAGTAATAAAACTGCATAAGAATATTAATAACATGCTTTTATTGTTTGAAAGCTTGTAAATTACTTGTGTGCAAATTTTTTTGGAGTGCCCTATTGAATGAAATTATAATTTAATGACTACACTAGTAAATCACAAAAAACAAAAACAAAAAAAGTCATTAAATGGCATAAAAGGGAAGAAACTCGTCTTGAATTTTTCTAATTTATTTTTTAATTGATCCCACAAGCAGTGCTGAGAAAGATGTTTAAAATTGCCTGTTTTGAAATTATCTGTCTAGGCTAATTTTTGTCATATGAAAATAAACACTTTTGTATTCTGGTTTTTATTATGAGAATAAAATACTATTAAATATAATCATAGAGATGAAATGATCATATAAAAAGTTAAATTTTGTAATTTTTACAAAATTAATTTTTTTTTAAATTTAAAAATGCCAAAATATGAATATTTATATCATTGAAAACTTTTGTAATTGGAAAATTATGTCTGTAACCAGCGTTTGCAAAAATACAGGCTGCTGACAAAGTTGTGAACACATTACCTATCAGTGTTAACTATAAATTGCTCATAATTTTACCTATAAGTGTAGGTGCATTGCTGTATTAAAAAAATGTTGTGCATTTGTTGCAGTTGCTTGGTTTGATTTAAGATGTTGAGTCTATATCATTTCTTAGAGAATTTATGTTTTTCTTTCCATAAATTATTTTTAGAGTAATCCATTGCAATAAATGCCAAGATGTTAATAAATCTGAAGCTATGTAAAATACAGCATAAACACTGGTATTATTATGAATGATCTGTTTCATCAGACTTCTTATCAATATTTTCTTGAAATTTTTGTTTGCTTTGCTAGGAAAATTTTCAGTTTTAAAAAAGGAGAAAGTATTTTTCCACATGCACAGCATAAAACAGTGAATATGGTCAATGAACAAGTACTTAATCCAGTACTAGTTCAAATTCATTCTGTACATGTAATAGACTGATGAAACCAAGAATAAATCAGTTTAGAGCAGCATTTCTTAAACTTTTTGACAAGTGGAACCATTTTCAATGTCCACTTTTCTCATGGAACCCCTGGTGTAATCAACTCACAATTATTTATTGGAATATTTATTTGTTTCAAATAATATTTTAAAACTAAGTAAAAAATTCTTAAAATAATGTAAAAAAGGTGTTTAAACATGATTTAAATTTTACTGCAATGAGTTATACTGCTTTCTGTTATCATATATATATATATATGTAATATTTGGTTTTATGGATGACAGTAGAATTCTCATATCAGGTTCAGTATCCATTCTGTTGCGGTTTTTTTGGGCCCACCAGCGGCCGAGCAGTAAAGTCGCTGAACACTGGTAGTTCGGTCCGAGGTTCGAATCCCGCAAACGGGCTGGCTGCATAAGCGTTTTCGTGGTTTTCCCCATGTGTAACGTGTATACGAGCCAGTTCCCCTTAGAAAGTCCTCCACGAAGGCATCCCTCCTCTTAGGCAGATAGCCCTCGAGGTTTTGCCATATACACACACACACACTCTGTTGCGGTTGTTATTTTTAATCGACACACAAGTTGAGAATGCTGATTTCTGATTTGCACATACAGCTAGTTGCAAATAGTAAAAGTGCCAATATTGCCTTTTATGACAAATTAGGTTATTCATCTTTTAAATTGTACCAGAATTCCTGTAATGGCATTACTTTAAATTTTTCTTCCAATGATGAATCAAATGTCATTTCAGTAAGAGCTTCATATTCTTCTGCTGGCATTCTTAAAGGTTTTGCATTTCTGAAATAGGAAACAGTTCCTGGTTTCATTCTGCAGGAAGACTGTTCTCCACTACATTGCCATAAAACTGTAAGCCAGTACCTGAATGATTGTCTACCCATTGCTGGATAAACTGCACTGAATCAAATGATATGCCGTTGCTTTTTTGGCCAACAAGATCCTAAGGTCTCCTTGTAATTTTTTTCTGTGAGGTTTAGTTAAAGAAAAATAGTTCATGCCTCAATTTCCTCAGGACTTACAGCAGCTGAAACAGTGGAGAACTGAAGTGCTCAAATCATTGACAAAGAATATTCTATCATTAATGTGGCAGGAACTAGAATACCGCACAGGTATTTGTCATGTCATCCGGATGTGCTACCATAGAACATGTGTGAAAACTTGAATGACTATGGTTTCACTGAATTTGATTTATCAAAATGAAATAATTACAGCATTCACAAGCATGCTTTTTGTCACATTCAATATGAAACACATTGTATGTAGTATGATTATAATCGGTTGCATAGTTTAGCTAGACCTACCATATGAACTGAAGATGTGCACCATTTCATCTCTGCTCCTGTTCGAAAGATAGTATGAAAGGGAAGTTTTGGTTCCAATAGTTTTTCATTTCTTCCATTTTGAGATATGCATATCATTAGGCACTTTTATATAGTACAGTGAATGTTATTTTAACTCACGGTTGTAACCATTCTCAAGCAGTTGTACGATTTTTTTTTTGTCAGTTGTGCTCTTGCTTTTATAATCAAAATGTGATTTTTCATTTGCTGTATGGTCAAAGAAGCTGGATATAAAAAAGATGCTTGGATGAAGCTGAAGATAATATTACCTACGGAGTGGACAATGTTGATGGTGAAAGGGAGAACGATAGCATTTATTGGACTGGCCTCTAGCAGTGGGAGATTTCCCAGATTTGCTAGACAGCTCCAAGCAGGATACTACCATTAAAAATTTAATTAATGCATATCAGTTTTTAAAAAAGTATTTTTTGAGTTATATAATCTGTAATATCATTTTTGATACCAAGTTATTTCTAAATCATTTTGAACTTTTATATGAGCTGAAACTAAATTTCAGTCATAAAAATTTGCTAAAAATTCTTGTTTTATGCATGAAAATATAAAGTGTGGAACTGAAATAAACAGTTCAAGTTATATGCCTGTATGAGTGAATCTTAGAGCAAAACGTTCGTGAAAATCAAATATGGTTTTATTAGATTCCTAGATGAGCTAGTACTGTGTTCTTAAACTTCATAGCTAATTTGTTTGATTCTGACATTCCTTAACTTACGCCATTTGTTCTGATTTTAAATTCTTACATCTTATTGGTCAGTAATAATCAATTTTTTATATGAAAGGCCACCAGTAAAAGCAAACTGAAGGTTATTGTGAAGACCTATTAGACAGGCAATAATATCAATTAGCAGGGAAGCAATAACAAGTATAAGAAGCATTGTAAATGTGCATATCAGATGAAGTTGTAGTGCAGTATTTATGGTAGAAACAACACTGATGTATTTTATTGTTTATGACCATAAAAATATGTATGAGTATTATTACAAAAGTCTCTCAGTTTTTACATTTAGTTTTAGTATTATGCTAACATCTGTAATGTTTTATATCATATGAGGGAATGTAGGTACTGACAGATAAAAAGATAATCCTGGAAACAGAAGAAAGAAACTGCCATTAATAAACAGAATGTGTTATTGTAAATAATTTTTAAAAAAATAGCTATGCAGGTTATGATACTTCATGATTTGCATATTGGAACTTATCCCTCCCATAGATATTGCAGTTTCATTGTAATATTTTATTTTCATTTATTTTAATAGTTTGTTTAATTGGTGTTCTGTTTCAGGCAGGAAACTTTAAAGTTGCTTTGAAGCAGTTTAGATGGATATTAACTTGCTTAGAAAATGAACCAGGTGCTCCTGCTGATTCTGAGAATTCCAGGAAATTCCTATTAATTGCTGGCTATCTCAACATGGCGTTATGTTTCTTAAAACTTGAAAATTACCTTGATGCTGTCAAAGTTTGTGATAAAGCCCTAGAACTAGATCCAAAGAATGAAAAAGCTCTGTTTAGGCGAGGCCAGGTACAAATTAATTGATTTACAATGAATTTATCTTCTGAAGATTTCACTTGTATCTGTATCTATTTTTGCAGCTTTACATTAAATGCTTAATTATTGTAGAGAATGTGTACTTATATTGACTTGAGTTTGTAAGAGACAATCAGATCTAGGAAGATACATCTTGATAACTGAATGTCATTAATTTCAATCTTTTATTTGATCAGACATATTAAATAACATATTTTATTAACCCTCTAAGCACCATGATCGGATTTATTCGTTCAATCAGATTTTTTGTTACTTGGCATATAATAGCTTATAATTTAAGATATTTTGCTTTCTTACTGTCTTTTAATAATATAAGTATTAGCTTAATGAATGTAAGTTTAAGAAAATAGAGACTAAAATGTGTAATTATGCACAGCTAATAAATACTGTTTAAATACAAGTCTTTGTAATGGATCTAAAATCACATGCCACTCAGAGGGTTTAGAATGAGTGTTCATTTCATTGAAACAGTTATATAAAGAAAATTCAGAAAGTATGTATATGAAGAAAATAATAAAAGTAGATGATGTGAAATAATGCTCTCCAGACTATTTTTTTATTAACATAAGATATTAACAATGTACTGATACGTTAAAGTAATCAAAACAATTGAAGCCATTTAACTCAAAAAGTCTATTATTGTCAGTTAGTACTCTATCTGTTATTGCTAGCAGTAAACAAGTTGATTAAGAATTTACTACTTGATTGGTTTTTCTTGACAGTCTAAGCCCCGTTCACATGCAACGTTCTTTCGTACAGCTACAGCTTGTATTAGGCAGAAATGGGCATATGAAGCAGTTTTGCCTTTAGGACCGGTTCAGATGCGCATCGTCTTCCATCCCCTAACCCGTAAGCCACTGCAAGCAATGAATGATGTCACAAGAGCGAATCAGATTAGCGGATTTCTAATATTTACTTACATCTTTTTTTGACAATGTTTACTATTGCTATAGAACGCCATCGGAGTTTAATTCTTTAATTAATTAAAATACACCTAAATTAATTTAAAATACAATTTATATACAAGATCAAATGATTAAAAGAAGAAAAGCAACCACATATGCTGCTGAGCGGTTTTAAATAAAATATTTTGTGGCTGCCAAAATTTCAAATTTTTCTTTTTGAAGAAATGAATAAAATGACAAATTAATAGCATTAATATTAATTAAAAATGTTTTTAATATGGATTATAAATGTTTTAGAAAATATATTATAATTAATTCATCTGTTGAAATTGTTTTGAACATGTTTTACGAAGATTTTAAATAAAAGCTTGTAATTTATATTTATATTAACCAGTGGAATAGCACTAGGTTTTATAGTATATATATGTGTGTTTGTAATGAAATTCAGTAATAAAATTTTTAAGAAATTTGAAATTATTTAAGGACCATATAGACAGCTTATATTCTTTAAACTGCGTTTTTTCAGTTTGCATTTTTTTTTTGGATAAATCCCTGTTATTTAAAGTCCTAAAACATATACAGATATGGCCTAAATTATTTAATATTTTTACCGCTTAGTTAAAATTATGTCCATTAAAGAAACAAGAATGGGTTTTGCAAAATACTGAAAAGAAAAATTATTTGAAGTGGAAATGTGATTCAGATCATATTTGTTTCAAAATTTTTATTTTCTCTCAGAAACTAATTCATTAATTATAAAATCTATCCTTTAAGTTATTAAGAACTTTCTAATGAATGCAGGACGAAAATATGAGTGAAATCATTGACAACTGTAGGAAAAGAATGACATTTTAATTGTTAAACTTTTCTTCAAAAAATTTTTTATTCAAAATATGGCAATTTTTTTTTCCTCAACTTAAAATTATTTTGTCTTACAAAACCATTTAATAACATTCATAAAAGTAGATAAAAGATCTTAAATAAAAAAAATCATTCAAAAGGTACAGAGTCCCCTTGTCGAGTTGAAGCCGATATGTGCGTCTTTAGTTTTAATTTGAACAGTATTTCTGGAATACCCAGCATCAGATGACCTCGTCCATACTTAATTACAAATTTCCGTATTTCGTACGGTTCTATGTAATTTTTTTGGATGCTATCGCATCCTCAGATATCTACCAACGCGATTGTTTCACTGACAGTTCAGCAAGCAGTCAGTTGCACGTCAGCCATGTTTGTTAAAATTAAGAAAACCATGTACCTGTCGAATCTGCTCTTGTGAATGGGGCTTAGGTGACAAAATGTGGAATTTTCAGTGGCTTGAGTTTTTATCCTTGCCCTGAACGTAAGAAGTAGATAAGAATCATCAATAAGTAATTGTCTTTTCAAGTTTTATTGCATGTGTATGTTACCATAATATGTGTGCCCTTTTTTGTTTTTCAAATTGTATTCTGTAGAATTATATGTATCAAATGGGACATTTATTGTGTTGATGGCTGATTCTAGAAACCAATAACCAATTTAAAAAATATTTATTCAACTATTTAATTCTAAAGCTCAATTTCATCAACTACTCTTAGGAGAAAAAATTTTTTCATTATATCCATGGCCCATTGGAATATACTTGTAATTTTTAATTATACCGTACAATCAAAAATGGTACATGAATTCATTTACAGAACAGTAGAATCTCTTAATTTATTTAGTATTCAGTAGTTTAAAAGGCAGTGAAGTTGTAAGATGTCGAACAACCCCCAAAAATGCTGTTGGTCTTTTATTTTACAGTGTTTATCTTTTCGTTTAATCTTTGTCAAAATGAATTCATAATGGTTAGGGAAAAGTATATATCATAAATTGCTAAATATGATGTCCACTGTGTTATAAGTGCCATATTTGACAAGCAACTGCCTGTTTTGTTGCATTGAAATTTAACGAATGAGTGCCCTTCATTTTATTTGTTTGTAAAATCATGCAGTGTGATTTAATGATTTTGTTAATGGAAGTGGGAAAAACAAATGCCACAGTCACCCAATGTTTTCATTTGTAATGCTGTCTTACAGTGGTACCTTGGTTTGCAAGCATAATTTGTTCCAGAAACATGCTTCCTAGCACTCATGTATCAAAAATGAATTTTCGCAAAAGAAATAATAGAAGTTCAAATGATTTGTTCCATAACCCCAAGATATTCATATAAAAATGGTTGATATTTGGTTGCAAAGTTTTTTGTCAACAAAAGTTCTTAATAAAGTTATAAAAAATAAAGAAGTACCATCAGTGTGGGTAGTAATCACCACCCACATCTGATTTTCTGCCAATATTTTGGTAGTTTTTCAAAGCCTTCGTCCAAGAAACTTGGTGGTTGCGAGTCCAAAAACAGATCAACCTCGTTTTGGATAGCGTGTGCAGAATGGAAGATAACATCAGCAAGATGTAACTGCAGGTGTGAAAAAAGATAGAAGTCCGAAGGAACGATGTCGGGGCTATATGGAGAGTGTGGCGAAAGTCCTATTCGAGTCCATACAGAGTCCAGCAGACACACACAATCTTGCATTATCTTGATGGAATATTACCTTTTTGCGCTGGAACTTAGTTTGATGTTTCTGTTCATGGACTAGCATCTTGCTGTACACCCTTACTGTCACAGGTTTTACCCTTTTTCAGATACTCTTCTTAGAAAATACCATGGCAATCCCACCAGATACAAAACATGATCTTTTTCTTAGTCGAATTGCGCATTGTGATGCTGTCAACATGTTCACCAGGTACATACCAACCCCTTTTTCAGTGCTGTTGAAGTAAATCCACTTTTCATATCAAGTGACGATGTGGTCCAGAATTTTGCCCTAGCATTGATATTCAAACATATTAGTGCAAGCCTGAACATGTCTGCCCTTATCTGCTTGAGTCAGCTCATGTGGCACCCAGTGATTGAACTTGTACGTCAAGTTTATGCGACGCATGGTGCGAATTATGGACATGGCACTAACATCTAATTCCTTAACAAGCTCTTGAGTGGTTGCATACTGATCTTCCACAAGTTCTCACAGGCAGGCCTCATCAACACCAGTAGGCTGGTCAGAGCGGTGTGCTTCTTGTATGGCATAGTCTTTTAATTTGAAGTCAGACACAACAAAAATCAGTGCTGTATTTGCAAATTTTCACAGGACTAGTTTCAGTGGTTTTACCAAACCATCATTCTCAGCTGCCAAAGTGCAAATGGGAGCTGATTTACTTACATACGAGGGCTATCCAGAAAGTAGATTACGTTTTGGAATAAAAAAATAAACAAAGTATAGGAAACAAATTTTATTATATACAGATGAAAGCCACACTCAAATACTACTTTTCTACATAGTCACCATACAAATTAAGGCATTTATCGTGGCGATGTACGAGCTTGGAAATTCCTTCGTCGAAAAATTCGGCCACCTGCGCCTTCAACCACTTCGTTACCTCTTCTTGCCTTCCATCTTGCACAAAACTTGTGGTAACCAAGCTTTTCGCTGATGATTTCGTGCAACAAACTTCGCGAAATTTGTGGAAAACTCAAAGAAAGTTCCGTTATTGTGAAATTTCGATTTTCACGGACTTTAGCATCGACTTTTTCGAGAAGTTCGGCGGTCACTATGCTGGGTCTCCCACTTCGATCTTCGTCGTGAACGTTGGTTCGGCCATTTTGAAATCTTATGACCCACTGACGCACTCCACCTTCAGTGATAATGTTGTCCCCATACACTTCACGAAGCTGCCGATAGATTTCTATCGGTTTACAGTTTTTTGCAGTCAGAAACCTTATTACTGAGCGCACCTCGCAGCTCGCGGGATTTTCAATTAACGCAGACATTTCAAACCGTCACAGTATCTGAACGGAGCACAGCACGAACCTCTCACTAGCACGGCTAGATGCAGACTGAGCTGCGCAACGCTCTGACCCCAAGATGGCCGCGCTAGCCCCGCCCCTAGCGGACACAGACGGAAACGTAATCTACTTCCTGGATGGCCCTCGTATTTCCTTCATCTCATATGAAGTGAGACATTTCTCTTTCTTTTTCTCCTCCTCAGCTGAGATTTCCTGTATAACTTCTGACTTGCAATGCATATCCATCAGTTTATCAGTGGGCAGCTCCTGACCATGTTCCTCCTCGAGTTCTTGAATGTTGTCTGTGTTCACCTTCAGTCCCAAACTCTTCCTCAAGGACACAAATTTCATTAACAAATGATGGCTGTTATTGATCAACAAACCCCTCAAAGGCATGGCCAAGAACACAATCAGGCCACAGTTTTTTTCAAGCATAATTAAGAGTTCTCATGATAAAACAGTTCCAGGCTTTGTCAATGATTTTAAGGCTGTTCATGATATTAAAATGATTTTACCAAAACTCAAAAGTAGTCTTTTAGTCACCTCAAAGCGTTCTTAAAATACTGCTTTGGCATAAAGCTTTTTAAAGTTCAAAATGAATTGCTGATCCACTGGCTGGTGTAGTAGAGTGGTACTGAGAAGAAAAATTTTGACCTGAGATCTAAATCTAAGATGTATATCTAAAAAGTTATTTCTTCACTGCATGATCAAAGTCTTGCTTGATGAATATGATATGAGGAACCCTAGCCATGCTATTAGACCTCCACGCCACACTTAAATGTGGTTGTTCTGTACTTTGCATGTTTCAAACCTCAAGAATTCTCGGAAACATAAAAAACAAGAGCTTGATTTTAAAATCTCACTTGTTTTAATATGTAACAAGAACATGAGATGGCCTTTCATGGGCTTGTGACTGGTAACTGCATTTTCTTCTGCTCTAATATAAGTCCTCTTTAGCATCCTTTTCTAAAGAAGCTTTCTCGTTACAGTTAAAAACTTGAGACAGGTAACATTTGAAGACTATGAACTTGGCAGCAAAAGCCTTAGCTGCCTGAGCATCCAAACTTGCGATCTCCTAATACTGTAGATACTGCTTCTCCTTTTAAAGTTATCAAACCACCCCTTTCTCAACTTGATGCCTCTTTTTTTTTTTTTTTTGTTTTGTTTTCAATTAACATATTTGCAGTTTATTTGTGATTTGGTTGTTAGTTCTTTACTGAAATGAGAAGCAGTTTGTTTTCATTTTCCAGAATGTTTTACCTTTGCTTTGATATTCTTGTAATATCTGGTTGAAATGTCCTGATCGCTTGAATGTTTTCATGGGTTTTCCTACGCAAAATATAAATGTGATCTACATTTTCTTTAGAAAGTCTTCCACATATGTATCCCTCCATCTGAGAAGACAGCTGCCAAGCGCTTTTCCATAATTAAATTAACTTGAGCCTGCACAGTATTAGATCGTATATTCTTGTGAAGTGATTTATAATACGAAATGATAAACCTCTGACATATTTTGCACTCAAATAAGTTTCGTGTGCTTAATATATTTTGTTGGTATTCAAATAATCAATGTAATATCTCCAAAATTAATTGTTTAACATGCAGAGATTTTGTGTTGTATTTATTATTATTTTTATAGGCCAAAATGTCTATGAGTGATTGTGCTGAAGCATTACAAGATTTTGAAACTCTGTGTTCTATCAACCCTTCAAACAAAGCAGCTAGGAATTCTGTAATAATATGCCAAGAAAAAATCAGGAACCAAAATTTGAAAGATAGAAGCATATATAATAATATGTTTGAAAAGTTTGTGAAACAAGATGAAGTAAGCCATATTTAACTGACTTTTTAATCTCTCATTATTGTCTAATGTTCTAAATGTTTATGGTTTCGACGTTACAAAATTTAACTTCATTACTTTAATTCAAGGTACTGAGAACTTGGCTTGTATGTAATACAAGAATTGAGATTTCTGTACAAATAGTGACAAACCTAATACTGAGGTATATTTCAATGTATGATCGAGTGTTCATTTTTTTATCTCTTTGAAATTATACTATAAGCATTTAAATATCTGTTAACCTCTTCGTCGTCTGTAACGCGTCTAGCACGTTCAAGTGAAACTTCTGCAGGGTGGCCATAACACGCTTCAAGTGTTCTTCTACATTTAAAAACTTTTAAATGCTTAAAATGCTTTCTAAATGTTTACTTGTTTGAGTTTTTATTTTTGTTTGTTCTAATACCTCCTAGAAGGCAGCACTAATCAGGCATTCTATTTCTAATTGAATTTCTCCCGGCTTTTATGAATATTCGCGCCATTTTACATAAGATACAAGCCAGTGAGAAATGGCTTCAATGCTTACTCAGCAGAAAAAGAGAAAAAATGAGGTTGTGAATTGGAAAGACAAGAAGGATATACGTTTGAGGAGTACAGTCCATAATAACTCCATGATTGATGTTGGAACATGGAAAAGAACTGTAAAAAAAAAAAAAAAAAAAAAACAATAATTGTAAAAGATTACAATAACGAAATGGGAGGAGTGGACCGCCTGGAACAGATGTTATCAAATTATCCTGCTGTTAGAAATAAGCAGAGATATTATTACTCTTCCATTATGCTTTATTTCCTTATACTTAATATTCATTTACATTCATCCACTACAAAAGTTATGATATACAGAGAATACAACATTACACGCTACGAAAAACAGAGAGCCACTGGGGAGAAATTTTTACAGACAGGAGAGGACGGCAAAAGAGTTAATGTAATTATCTATGGTACATAAATGACCATAAAACCAGACTTGGCTGTTTGCCATCCCATCATTACAATTCCTTCCACATTTGTTTCATTTCCTTGAAATAATTTCATGCAAGCATTTTTGCAAAACTAAGTCTTAAAATAATGTGATTTTGGAACATTAGTGCTTGACCTTAAATTCCCAAATCTGATACTACTACTAGATACAAAGCTTTATTTAAACCATGTACTTATTAGATATATTAAAACATATACTTTCTAAACACAAAGCTTTATGATTTGCCATTGTTAACATTGCCATTCAGAAGTAGCTATTGTATGAAAATATCTTAGCATCTGTCTGTCAGAAGTTACTTGTAATGTTTGTCATTTGCTCAAGATTTGCGCTAGCAATACAGGTTATACCAAATAACTATAAAAGGGGAGTTTTAAGAACTTTCTGTGCATTCTGCAATGGCTATCAACTTCATTTATTTATTCCAACTAAAGTTAAATTAAAATACAGTATGTAAGTATAAAACTAATGTTTAAACACAAATTCTGGTCTATGCTGTGGTGATAAGCTGAAGTTACAGCTTATATAACAGCTTGCTTATTATGTGATAATGACAACTTTAAACAGCTTATTCCAACTTAACATTCCGTAACTTCTGTTTACTATTAGATGGAAATAATTGTCAATATTTTTATTTATTTTTTATGAAAAACTGAAGTTTGTCTTAAAAGGTATTGTATTTCCTAGTATGTAAGTATAAAACTAATGTTTAAACACAAATTCTGGTCTATGCTGTGGTGATAAGCTGAAGTTACAGCTTATATAACAGCTTGCTTATTATGTGATAATGACAACTTTAAACAGCTTATTCCAACTTAACATTCCGTAACTTCTGTTTACTATTAGATGGAAATAATTGTCAATATTTTTATTTATTTTTTATGAAAAACTGAAGTTTGTCTTAAAAGGTATTGTATTTCCTGTTTATTTTTAAATACTAAGTAACTCTTAGATTGAATTCTGTTGAAATTTCTGTTGAAAATTATATAAATTTCAGATTAAATGTAATAGCATTTAGAAATACTTGCTGTGAATACTATGGAATTCCAGTTATCCTGATCACGTTTTTCTGATTCCTAGCCAGTTTAAAATTAAGCTTGGTGTTGATTTACTTCTATTTTTTTTTTCTTTTTTTTTCTTTTTTCTTTTTTTTCTTTTTCTTTTTTTTTTTTTTTTTTTTTTTTTTTTTGAATAATACAGTTTGATTAAAAAGTACAGTCAATAAAAATGTAATTACATAGTGAAAACATGCCCACCACATGTCATTTGGTAAAACAATACAAATGTTCAGAATCATGACTACTCCAGTGATTCTGGATTGTTTAAATGTAGTAAGACGAAATGTACATATGGGAACATTGGGACTGCGCTTATCATTTAGATCAAATAGAAAAAGCTGACTTCCCATCAAAACCTCTCTAGGGCCAAAAGTGTGATACTGGCCGAGATCAATGCAATGTCAACCAATGTGTTGTATTGGTCATGGGGCAACTGTCTAGTCAGTAGGTGTTTGAAAGTCACATGCAGGAGTAGCAAAAGCTGACTTGCCATCAAAACCTCTCAAGGGCCAAAAGTGTGATCCTAGCCAAGATCAATTGCATTGACAATCAGTGTATTGCATTGGTCATGGTGCAACTGTCTAGCTAGCAGGTCACATGTAGGAATGTCAGTCCACACAAAAATCGCATTTGCAGCACATGTGATTCCTTTTGTTTAATATTATGTTCTCCATTCCTGGTCTTTGAGGAGGATTTTTTATATTTTATTTATTTATTTTTGGCCAGTGGTTGCTCCTTTTTTTTTTTTTTTTTTTTTAATCCATAGTACTGCTATTAGGGAGTCTTGATTTTGATCTCTTCTGCAAAAAAGTGGGCTAATGTTAATTACTCTTTCACAGACACAGTAATCCAGGCAGTACGACGTAGACTTTTCTCAAAATACCGTTTCATATCATCTTACGAGCCTTGAGGATCCAGTACTTTTTCATGAATGAAACATCATAATAGAAGTTCCAGCATGCAGCAGCTCATTATGTGCATTATTTATCAGTAGTTTACTATTGCATGACCCGGTTGCAAAATAACAGGAAACTTCAATTCGTTAGCATCATCCTGATATGCAGTATTGGTCTTAGTTCTAATCAGACCATCACAATCCATTATTGGTCTGAAGTCTGTAATTTTATCATCGTTTACACCTTTAGGCGATTACTTTTGAGTCAATAAAATTAGAGCTATTTCAGCTCTTTCATTATCCAAAATGGACAGAATTTTGGAAGATTGCTTGGCATTTTAAAGTACATAAGCTAATGTACATACAGTTTTCCTAACAAATGAAAAGTACCTATAAAACCAACTGTCAGGTTTAGAACCTTTGTTAAGCATGGTCAGTACTTAATTACACTTTTCTGAATTTGTGACTTCATCTGGTAAGTTGGTGCTTTTAAGTCATGATTGACTTTGGTTCTAACAGCATGCCCTCCCATCATTTCAGTTAGAAGCTGTTTAGCTGAACAGCCCCTAGATAGCAGGTTGGCTGCATTTAGCTCTAAAGGGATGTGTTACCAATTTTTTAGTTTTGGGAAATGTTCTGATTTCTTGGACACAATTCGAAACAAAATTTTCCCATTGTACATCTCTCTAGATCCAGCTCAAAGCGACTGTCGAGTCAGTTCATTAGAATGTTCTCAAATTGGTCATATTCAAATTAGTAATGACAGCACTTACCAAGCAGCCTGTGATTAAGCAGGACCAGAAGTGGTCGCAGTCCTTAACACGTTCATGACAGGCACCTCTGTTACTGAAGCGTTCTCTTGGGATGGCGTGTTAACTGGATATGTCATTTTGTGGGGACGAGTCATTCGCGCTGCTAAGCCTAACTTTGGGAAAAAATTCATAGAAATTAAATTTGTCATCCAGTTGTTCCAACTTTTTGGTACGCTATGAGAAGAACGTTCAGGTAGTTGTCAGAATTAATTTTAAACCTTTATTCTTATATTTTCGTAAAAACTTTTATACAATACTCATTCTAGAATAATATAATTTTTCCTTTATCCCACAATTAAATATATATGGGAAAATATCCAAACAATCACAGATTTTATTTAACACAACACATATTTAAAATTTTAAAATATTAAAACTGTCTTTCGTAAAAATTCAATGTGCAAACAACGAAAAGGAAGCAATATTTCAAAAAAGAGACAGTATATGATATTCTTTGAAACATGGGTGTATGCAAAGTCCAACGTTGCAAATGTCACAGGAATAGAATATCAGCAAATTTGATTCATTTAGCATTTGTGTATCTTCTACAGTCAGATAGCGCTTTCGTTTTGCCATTAAAAAAAATAGAACATTAAAAAAAAACTTTTGCTAAGCCATACAAAATATTCGTCTCAATGCCAGAAAAATCTGTGAGTAATAAAAAAGTCTCTGATAGAGCATCTACTCCACTATATGGGGATAAAAAAATAAAAATAAATAAATTAAAAAGTATTCCAGAGCATCGAGAACATGTTCATTTGTTTATATGAAATGACGTAGTAAGAGCCATCACGTTACTAACACTAACGAATTAACATTTGTGTATATTCTTCTAAGTTTAAATACCTATATCGCAAAAAATAAAAATAAAAAGTACCTCAAAGCATCGAGAACACTTGCATTTGTTTATGTCAAATGATGCAGTTAAAGAGACATTACATTGCTCAACACCCACGAATCTCCCTCTCATTCCGAAACAAAATACCAAAAATAAAAAAACATTGCATAGGAATGAAGGTACACATACTTAACTTTCGATATATTTCCCCATAACAGACATACAGCTACATCTAGTGGTAACAAAAAATACTAATTAAATGTTCTATCTAAAAAGTCAAATGTGGTACGGCCGGCCATAGAGTGAATTAAATGACGATTCAAATATGACACACCCGGCCGTGAGGTAATATTCGCTGCTGATGCACATATGACATGCCCGTACTGAACGGGTTAAAGGTATAACTGTAGTATATGTTTGCACAAAATTTAGGTAAATCTGATTTTTGGTCTTTTCTGTTAAAAAAGTAAAGGTAGAATAGGTGTGCATGTTGGAATTGCAGAAACCTTGGAGACTTACTTCTTCGCCAACAAGCATATCAATACTAATACATCTAAAGGAATTTTGACATTAGAGAGCAACTCCATTTCTTTTACCCATTTATGGACTTCTTTTCTTAATGCTCAGGAAATTTTTAATCCCAATTTAGTTGTAATTTGTAGCATTCTTGCTACATTAACTTGGGGGATAAAAGTATGGGAGAAATGAAGCCTGTGAGACCAACTTACATGAACAAGAAAGGAAAGTTCATTTGCTCATAATATTTTCCTCTTCCTTTTATGACACAGTTTTACTGGAAAGAGTGTCTTCTTTTAAATGTCAGTTTAATCCTAAAATGCAGACATATCTAATTTAGAGTTCCAAATTATTTCAGTTTCATAATTTGCCATCCTCCAAGATTAAACTTTGTCAGTGACTATAGCATTCTTGATTTTAACACAAATCTATTTAATCCTTCAACGTTCTTAAAACTAGTCAGGCAATTATCAGTACAGATGGATTCATTCAAAATTTTGATTGTAGCTGCAAATTGCTTGGGGGAATGAATAAAACAGTAGTTCAACATAGCAGGTAACAAAAATGCCCCCAAAACACGAAAATGTCTATGAAATTTCATGTCCTCTCCTTCAGTTCTGCTCTGCAAGAAATGTAAGTAATGTTTGTTTTTCTCTCTCACTCCTATCAGCAAAAAAGCATTCTTGTTTTCTGAAATTGCAGCTGTAGGATATTTATGAAAACAATCTAACAGTTATGGAATTATTTCAATCAGGTTGGTACCTTTCTCCAGATAATCGTTTGATGAAAGCACTTCTTTGTTGGGTGTTGAAACATCAAAAGACAGCATTACCTAAATCGTTTCTCCAAGATTTCTTTGAACACTGCCATACGAGGCAAATAATGTTATCTACATACTTTATCTTCAGTAACTTCAATAATTAGGTCCTTCAACCAAACATGAAGTACCTCCACGTAAACTTGTAATTTGGTTTGAATCTATTAATATTTTTCTCTAAGTATTAGTCAGTTTTTTTTAACAATTAATTCTATTTGTAAACAGCCGAGAGCAGGCTAATGTCCGAGGTAACACAATTTTGTATCTCTCATCCGAATCTAGCTAGCACAGTGCATCTTAAATTAGCCCTTATATCTTTAGAAGATGGCCTCCAGTGTTATAGTAATAAGAATTTTATGTTGTTTACAATGTATTGTAGTGTATTAGATAGGCATTTTGTGATGGAATTGTGTCAGTAGTTCTTAATTCGCTATTTAAAAGCACCATACTGCTGCTGCTTTGTTATTAATGCTTCTGTTTTATATTTATATGTAAAACGGCATTTTTTACTTGAATTTGAGTGTTAGATATTGTTATTGCTACAACATTTTGTGTCATAATATTGATGTAGGTAATGACCAATAAATGATTCTTTCTCCAAAGATGAAACATGAACTTGGTACAATGTGTATAAATTTTTTCCCTTGTAATTTTCTGTCACATATTTTACTTTCTTGTACAAAGTATTGTACGTGAAAAATGTTAGGTAGCATATTTCAACAGAAATATCCATTTTGACTTCTCTCGAATCCATTTAAACAGTGTTTTTGTATAACATCTGTTGCATATGGACAGACATTTTTTTTTTCTGAAATGTTATAAAATGGATTCAGAAGATACATTTTTGTGACATCTGTACAGATGTATCTTGCATAAAACATTGAAATTTTGCGAATGGGACTGCTATAGCATGTAGTTGTGCGCCTTCCTCTTTGGTTGCAATTGACCGCACCAAACATATATATATATATACACACACACAGTATTACAAAAATATTTTTTAAACGAATTTCTTATATATAAATACACACATATATACATATCCCCAGCTTGTTTTTTTTTTTAATCTTGTTGCATTTTTTTCCCTTTAAAAGTGATTGAATTATGTTGTTCTGATTAAGGTTTTTTAAATGCCTGCATAAATGTGAATCTGTATACAGTAGTTGTAGAATTATCAACAGTTTAAAAGTTTCAGTGAGGCTAAGCCTATCGAGGCCACCATTTGTTTACATTTGAAACTCTTAGTAGAAGAGTGAATTCAGTCAGTCTGTGCACCAGCTTCACTTCTTAGCTTCTTTTTGCCGATTAAGACTAAAACTGTCAATTTTGTGCACCGAAAAACCTGTTTTCCTGCCCGCTGGTCAAATTGCTTTAGCATCCAAACTTTAATTGTATCTTTTTTACTGTTTTTAATTGTATTTGGTGTTTTATGTTTTTCTGTATTTTATAATTTTTGATCAAGATGCTTTGATTTTGTACGTATTTTTATCTTGCTGTGAAGTGAGAACTGAATTAATTGAATGAGAAATATATCTAACGGAATTCAAGAAAATAAGTTTAAATGAAATGCAGCAAAAAAAAATGTGCAAAATTTAATAGGCTATACAAGGAAGCCATGTGATGTCAACATCAGATAAGCACATGCTTAGCATTCAATCATGTGATTATTTATGTTATTAATGAGGTTTCTGACCGCAGATTATAATAGTGAAGTTTCGGGGTAAAAAAAAATTAAGTATGGGTTTGCATCTGTGCAAGATTTTGGCAACCCCTTATAATTCTATTATATTTAAGCCAGCTGGAGGTTTTAAATGCAGTTCACTCTTGCTTTATGGGCAGTTTTGTGCAATTTTCTTATTGTATGCATTTTATAAATAGATTTTTCTTTTCTAATTTCAGGAAAGAATGAGAAAATTTAAAACTGAAACTGGTGTCTGGCAGAGTGATAAAAGAGACGAAAAAAAAGAAATTTATATGACTGAGACACAGAGGTTAATTGAACGAAATAATACAACTCTACGTGATGCAAATGTTATAGAACTTTCAAACACTGCCAAGTGATAATGTGGCAGATTTAATTTGTAAAGAGTTAGAAAATGATGAATGGTTTTCAGATCTCAAAATTTTCAAGACCATTCAAAATAATACACAGGGTGTTTGGAATTAATTCCTTAAGTATTGATCCTAAACACACAGTTCTCAACTTCAGTTAGTATATTGCAAGATAGTAGGTATAATGTTGATTAATATGTGTATAACAAGATATTGGGTTAGCAAAAAAGTAATTTCCAATTCTTAGGAGAAAATAAAACTTTTTTTTTTTTTTTTTTTCTCCTGTACAAAAATGAAGTTTAATCAAAATGTCATCCATTCTGTTAGATGATCATTTTCCATCTTCTGGTAACTTCATGTTTCTGGGCTGACATTACTTCTTGACTTTATCAGCAAATTATCCAAATAGTAGCAATTTAAGGTTATTGTCTTTGCTGAATTTTTTACCATTTAAAATGTTTTGTGAACTTCGAACTGAATGATAACCCTATGGTGCAAGGTCGGGGATGTGACGTCACTTCTCAGCCAAGCTCTAATAATTTTGTGCGTTTTCAATCACAATTGGCAGACACTTATGCTAGGAGGTTAATTTGCTACAGCAGGGAAGCTAAAAAAGACTAACTCTCAGCCTATGCTATCAAGTGCTATCTAAAAAGGGTAAAGAATATGAGCTTATTTGTACATTAACTTATTTTAATTCTAGTGGATGTTGATGAAAACAGAATTTATAATATAGCTGAAATAATAAGATAAATGTGTTAATTAAAGTTAAACCTTACATATTTAATTAATACTTTCTCGAGATTGAATCTCCAGAGGTTTCTTACTTTATACTCTGTATTTCCATTTTACATTTTATTTCCAAGATGGGAGAAGCATGAGTGGCTTGGCTAGGAATATCATGAAATTAATGTGCAAAGACTAATGTTCTAAGATATTCCCAAAACTGTTTTTTCGTGCTGAGTCTAGTTTCTAATTTAAGGACTTTAAGTTAAAAATTATGTGAATAAATCAAATGTTTTTAAACCAAACACTAAAAATGGTAAGTAGGGGTATGCATGTAAATATGATACATATTTAAAGTTTAATTGATAAATTATGCATTGTAAGGCATTACCAGCATTTGTTAATTTTGTTTAAGCTGTATTATACATTCACATTGCAATTTCTTTCTCTTCTGTATCTCAAAGAATTGATATTTTAATATCATCCTGAAGAGATGTAAGCAACCAAAGAGAAATAAAGTATCTATCACAAAGAAGCATAACCTTCTTTGTGTCAAGTACCAGGCTTTATTTCTGTGTGCCTTGCTCAGAAGCAAAAAAAAATATATATATAGGGCTTCCTGATCAATAAGCATTAACTTAATGGATTGTTTAATCTTGTACATTTTTAGAGGAAGACAGAACACTAAAAATCATATATTTTATGAGAGCTATGCATAAGCAATGAAACATCTAAATCTGGCATACTGAACATATTGAGAACATACTGAAAGAACATACTGAGCACATTTGGTCTGTTAGCTATTTTAGCCCACTTTGGCCTGTTTTCAGTTTGTGTGTATTGTACAATTTATGAACTATTTATCTTTTAAATTCTGATGTGATCCCTGTAGAATGACTTTGTCATACTTTCTCTTTCTTTGATTTTCATGATAGCTTTCCAAATGAGTATCATTTATCAGTCAAATGAGTCATTTTATTTATTATATATTATTTATTTATTTATTTATTTATTTATTTTTCAATTTTATACTCCATCTGAAAGAGAACAAAATCTAAAGCAGTTATGGTGGAATTAAAGATTTTCTGCAAAGACATGTGACAACTTAGTTCATTTATTTTTCTAATGTAATTTATTGCTGATTATTTACTAGTTAAATGCTTGATGCCCACTTTGCATGTCGTTGTAGCAGTTGTTAGCCTTTGTGAAGCATTCAGTGGAGCCAGATATAACCAGTGCTAGTCGTCCAAGGGTTAATTAGAATAAAAATAACCTTTTATGAATTTTTTTATTAGGGAGAGATCATATAAAATTTTAAAGTGTTTTAATATTTTATGTGGTCTCTAAACCGCTTTCAGCTTACAGTGTTGAAACTTCCATAAAATTCTACAGTAAATTTAACAAATTTTGAATTAGAAATATGCTTAGGGTCATTTAGATCGGTGGTCTCAAGCTGAAATTGCATCTAAGCTGAATGCACGATCTGAAAGTATCTGAAGAGACAGGGAGAGGGAGATCCTCCTCTACCAAAAAGGACACTTTTAAACAAACTTTTAAGGTTGGCACCTGCAAGAAATGTCTGATAATTACATTTTGTAATTAAAACATATTTACAGCTAAATACTAAATTTTCAAACTGACATTTATTTTTGATACTTATAATGTGCCTTAATAAACCACTAAATTACATACTTAAAACTAAAAATAAACAGATTGTGAAAACTTTTTAAGTAGGGCAAAGCTAATATTTTTTTTTTTTTTTTTTTTTTTGTCTTCATTTAATTTTTCTTTAATGCATACTGAAAAAATATATACCGTATTTACGCGAATCTAATGCGCATCGTTTTTGGCCAAATGTAGTATTCAAAATTAGGGTGCGCATTAGATTCGAGTGCAAAGTTTGCCGATGAGTCAACCAAATTTAAATCGTAACAAGGGATTACTGTATTTCTCGACTACATTTACCGTTACATTTATCGTTGACACATTATTGAATAGAGGATACAAACTGCAGAGTACGTAGTCAAGAAATGGAGGGCAAACAGAGAAGAATGTCATATGACGCTACTTTCAAATGTAAAGTAATTCTTTATGCTGAAAAAAATGGCAATAGAAAGGCAGGGAGAGAGTTCAACGTAGCTGAGAGCAATGTTCGCTTGTGGCGGCAACAGAAATTGGCACTGTTTGCAACTAAAGCTAGTAGAAAGAAATTCACTGGCCCTCGCAAAGGAAGAAACCCTAAAATTGAAGAAAAAGTTTTGGAATTTGTACGTGAAAGGAGGGAGAATGGACAACCTGTGACTAGTGACACCATAAGGAATAAGAATAAAGCAAAAAGAGGAGGCTGAAGTTCTTGGAATACCGAAAACAAGAGTTTAAGGCTAGCCGTGGATGGCTGGATCGGTTTATGATCGGTTATGAAGCGGATGGGCTTATCTCTAAGACGCCGTAGAACACAATATGCCAAAAGCTTCCTGCAGATTTTGAGGGAAAACTACTACTACATTTCAGCGGTATGTCATCACACTTCGGAAAGGAAAAGAATTTTTCAATGGGGCAAATTGGCAACGCTGGCGAGACGCCAATTTGGTTTGATATGCCTCGTAACTACACCATTACGGAGAATGGGGACTAAGGAAGTTATCATTCAAAACTTCGGGATGTGGAAAAACAACGCGTAACAGTGATGCTGGCAATAACAGCAGACTGGTGCAAAGCTTCCCCCTTTCTTAATCTTCAAACGGAAAAACATGCCCTTAAAACCCCTAAGAATGAAAAGAAAAAGAATGAATGAAAAGCTATTCCCAGATGATGTCCTGATTCGAAACCAAGAGAAGGGGTGGATGACGGAATCATTAATGCTTGATTGGCTCCGAAATGTATGAGAACGCCATTCCGGTGGGCTCTCCAATCCACCATCAATGTTTTGTCTGGACGCAGTTCGTGGTCATCTCACCGACGACGTAAAAAAGAAGATGCACACTCTAGGCAGTGATCTTGTTATAATTCCTGGAGGGATGACGTCTATGTTACAACCCCTGGACGTTAGTATAAATAAACCTTTTAATGGGTACGTTCAGGCGGAGTACAAAAAAATTGTTTTGTGAGCCAAACCGTGTATTGACCCCGACAGGAAAAATTAAGCGTGCTGCACCGCACATTGTTGCACACTGGGTTTCTGCTTCCTGGAAAAGCATCGAAGCACCAATGATTGTGAAATCTTTCAAGAAATGCTGCATTTCAAATTCATTGAATGGCAGTGACGATGACGTGCTCTGGAACGCCGAAGATGACGATGACGATGATGAGGAAAGAAGAATTGAATCTGCTTCTGACGAAGAGAGCTGCGAGGATTCCAGTGATGAAAACATTAATGAATAAAGACGTTTACTATTAATCACTGATTCTAGAAACTGTTAGCTAGATAGAAATATTACGATTTATTTCATGTTCATATTTTACGATAGGTACCATATATACGGTAGTGGTAATTAACAATGATTGTTTCACATAACAATAGCCCACTAATAGGTCAATTCTATGTTCTGCTACTTTACGTATAAATCCATTAATGTATAAAATATGGTATCTAAATTTAAATAAAATTATCATACCATTGATTGATAGTTTATATAAAAATCCATTGTTGTATAAAATAAGATTCAATAAATTCCTCATACCATTGATGCGCATTACATTCGTCGACAAACAATTTTTTTATTATTTAAAGTTTTAAAATGGGGATGCGCATTAGATTCGATGGCGCATTAGATTCGCATAAATACGGTATGTTTATATGTAAAAGGTTTTTAATTCTTACTGCAACTTTCAGTTACAAGTACCTCATGGCATTTCAGTTTTGATGAAGTTTGTAACCTTAGAGAAAAATTATTGGAAACTTGTCATTACAAATTGTAGATGTTAATCTATCACTCTGTTTATTTTTTAAGACAGTAATTTTTAACTGCAGGGGAAAAAAAAGGACTGTTTACATATAACTGTAAGCAAAGCAATGATTCTTATTTCAAAATTTTGTAACTGAAAATATATATCTTTTGACAAGTATGAAAAAAGTAAGATTTATTTCACAATGTAAATTAATTAGTTTTATTTGTAGATTTTTTGAGATGTTACTCATGTTCACTTCTAATCATACTGAATGTAATGTAAAACTGAACTCCAAATCACTAAAATTTTAAACCTTTCTTCAAATTCTAGTCATAATAATGCTAATTTATTCACGGGCTACCAGTTTGAGACCACTCATTTATATAAGGAAGTAAGGCCGCTTGCATCCTTTCATTCTCTGAACACCCTGTGTCTAATATAGCATTGATTATGGGATAAGATGCAATACAAACATTTATATATTTTTATATTGTTACTGTTCTAAGTAGATTATTCAAAATTATAAATGAGAAATATTTATATTATGCTTTTAATAATTATTGTATGCCCATCCAGTACTTTCTATGAAAATGCCCAGTGGTAGGCATACTTTTATATTTTTTTGGGGGGTAGTCCTTTGATGGACACACCTGTATAAAAACGTGATGCATAACATATGCAGAGTTGCCAACTCTCCCGATTTAAGTGGGAGACTCCCGATTTTCGACCGCTCTCCTGCCAACCCGATTTACAATATATTTCTCCCGACTTTTTCTTATTCTTAAAATTTCTCACGATTTTTATGCAACTTGGCTTAAGACTTTGTTATATGAATAAAAAAAACAGTGTTTTTGGACGTCTGAAAGCAATTGAATTTTCTCTACATTATATCTAAAACAAAATCTTGCGAATCAGATAGCTTCTGCTTTGTGAGTGAGAGCATTATACGTATCCAGAAACGTTTCTCCAGTTCTCCAATGGGCTTCGAGCTCCACTGCGGTCAGCTGGCATATATTAGCCAATGAGGACAAAGCAAGTTGTTATTTGGACGTTCTTTAGTTATTTCGTTCAATTTGTCCTGAGTTGTGTGAGTACACGTGCCTTAGGGAAATAGTTTTAGAAATTATCATCTTTTGTTACGTCCTGCGAGAAAGGTGAAATACTCGTGTACGTTTTCAAACATCGTACACAGTTGACTTTCCTTCCATTATTTCCTCAAGGAAATGTAATAAATTTGCGAGGTGTACCGCTTGTCGTTGCGATTTTTCGATTTCGCATGGTGGAAGGGCAGATGTTCTCAAACATGTGCGTACACAAAAACACAAGGATAACATGAGTTGTTTTTAAGAAAACGTAGTATTAAATTTTCCTTCGGAAACAAAGGACCAAAAAGTGATTAATGTTCTCAAACATGTGCGTACACAAAAACACAAGGATAACATGAGTTGTTTTTAAAAAAACGTAATATTAAATTTTTCTTCGGAAACAAAGGACCAAAAAGTGATTAATGCAGAATGTCTGTTCTCTGCCTTTTTACTGGAGCACAACCTGCCACTGAATGCATGCATCGGATCACGCTGCGCAGCTTTATTTAGAAAAATGTTCCCGATAGTGAAATCGCTATGAAATACTCAAGGTGCAAGAATCAAAAACAGGTGCAATTATTAAAGA